GTGGGGGGGGGGGGGGGGTAGTGGGAGGGGGGTCTGATTTGCAGAATGTATCGATGCAGATAATATTATTTTGCTAGGGAACTAACAGTGTGGGGGAGTAACAAGACAAAGTCAAAAAGAGATAACGCCTGATATTATATCCACCTCTTAATTGTCTTTATCCTAGTAAACATTTATCATTTTATTGTCTTGTTGAGATGGTAATTCTGATTTGACTTTGTTTTTTCAGGTTGTTCATCTTGATATTGATACTATGGCCAAAGAATTACACAGTATAGTGCTGCCTATGCAGAAATATTTTAGTTACAAGCCAGGGTCATATTACAGTGACAGTCTCTTTTTCCTCTCTGCAGCTATACACAGGTAGGTAAAGCATACGATGGTGGTTTTACAGATGGCTAATCCCAAAATTCAATATAAATCCAAATTATTGATTCTTGTGTACTATAATATTTATTTACATTTTGCCATATGAATGTACAGATATAATTGTTGCTTCTTTATCAGTATTAATGATTAAAAGTTGATGTTAATTATATAAAAACTAATAAAACAGCAAAGTAAACAATTAAAATGGTTGTGAAAGTGACACTACAGAATAATTTTTTAAAATCATAACCTGTCATTTTGATTTTGGAATGATTTCATATGCCTTAACATATAGTAAATTTGATGAATGATATTTAACTAAACTCGGTGTCATTTTGATATGAAAACTATTCCATGTGCCATGGTATACTATTTCAGGGTTGTGCCAGAGACAATGCACAGAGTGATAATGCTAGATGCTGACCTCAAGTTCAGGGAAGACATTGCCAAACTCTACCAAAAATTCAATGACTTCAAAGAACACAATGTCATTGGCATTGCTTACGAGGGACAGCCCGTTTACAGACACACATTCTGGAAGTATCGCCAGGAAAATCCCAGCACGCGCGTCGGGGACCCTCCCCCCAAAGGCCTCCCTGGTTTCAACAGCGGTGTCCTGTTGCTAGACTTACATCGAATGCGGAACTCTAAACATTACAACTCACTAATCAACGAACAGGTGCTTGAAGAGCAGACCAAAAAATACAGCTTTAAAGGTCATTTAGGTGATCAGGATTTTTTCACTCTAATAAGTATAGAACATGAAGAATTGTTCTATGTGCTTCCATGTAATTGGAACCGTCAGTTGTGCAAGTACTGGAGAGACAAGGGTTATGAGAGCGTGTTTGATCTCTACTTTAAATGTGAGGGACCTATTTATGTTTACCATGGTAACTGTCATACCCCCATTCCTGAAGATTAGTCACCATGGTGCTGGTATGTTAAGGTGGTGTCATTGTGATAACACAGTGATAATGTGATAAACCAACCACTTGTGTCAGAACAGCCAAATGCCCTTTATTATTAATCCCTTGACACCTGCTTCTGGAAGCATGTGAATTGAGGATTAGCCATACCGGTTTTTTAGATTCTATATCAAAAACTGTCTTCATGTATGTTAGTAGTTCACCCTGACCAATCTGCCACATTAACAGTGGGCCGTGCCAAATACCAGTAAAATTGAAGTCAAGCTAGTGTAATATTTTGTACATATTTGCTCTTACTGCTACGAATGCCTGGTTTGTAGACTGCACACTGTCAACGTTTACCTGGGACCAGCAGATTTGTAGACTCTGATGGTCCGATGGACCAGGAGGTTAATTTGTCTTCGGCACAGATTGCCACACCCCCTCTGATAAGATGTGTTGACCACACCTTTTGTTATCGGACTGGCCGTACATTACATCAGAATGGAGCACACCCTTTTTCCTTTTTGCCAATTTGTATACATGTAACAAAGCCGAGTATGGATTCAAAATGTAATTATCAAAGCTTAATGGTCATGCCCACTTATTTCATATTAAGGTTAATCATTTTTACAGGCTGAAAGTTTTTTGTTGCCCAGCTTTAGCATTGCTACTAGTATTGATCTAGTAATAATCAAAATAACTAATCAAATTTCCATTAATTTGCAAAGTAAATAACTAAATATGTTTAATTTTTTTTTTACAGTAGGTAAGTTTTATGTAGCGTTTTGTAAAATTATTTAGAGGCATGAAAGTACCCATTTTTGCAAAGCAACACACCAACCTTAAATGTTTTGTACTTAAGTTATTTCTGATCATTTCATTATTTTTTTTAATCAGCAATATTAATAGTCTACTTAATTTGCACCCTTTTGACACTCTTTTTCTCACATATTTTGTGCTAGAGAGAAAAGAGTAAAGGTGAGGAGCAATTGGTCACCCTACTCTCTGTTGAATGGGATAGAAAAAAATTAACGTTTTCTAGAGGACAAAAAAAGATGAAAAAAAATGTTGAACGGTTTGTAAGAAGACTCGTCTGTTGAAGGGGTTTATATGTGAAAATTATGAAGTAACCATACTTATTTAATCTATGCATTTTGAGATTTTAAGGGTCCTTTTTTATTTAGACATTTTTTCTTCATTTGTAATTGATCTGTTATCATTCTTATCTATGCAATCACACAATGATTGTTGACAGAAATTATTTTTGATGAAAATATAGTGATGTTACTTTTTTCTTTGTGTCACAGGATTTGAATTGTGATATTCTTCCAATTTGTGGGGTTTTATCCACGACTCTTGAAAACACAAAAGGAGCAAAAAGGAAAAGTAATATTTGTTTCATCTACATATGACTTTTAAAATGAAGCAGTGTCCAGAATTTTAATTACTGATAACAAGACCCAATTTATATTAGCCTAAGGTTAAAAATCAAGTCAAATCAAATGAAAATAACTATTGTCTGAAAAAATTAATTCACAAAGAAAACAAAACTCAGTTACTCTGACAAATTCAATATATTTTCCTGAATGAATAGAGAGCACTCTAGCACTCAGATTTATATTAATTCACCATTACATTAATCACCAAAATAGTCTTCTTTCAGACAGTATCCCTGTTGTCCCTTGTATACTTTCTGATGGAGTTGGACAGAGAAAAACTTCAAATGTGCCCAAAATTACAACAATAGGAACATCATTATTGCCATAACATTGTGTTCCTGCACAGTTGACAAATTACCATTCTATTAAATCCCACACTAAGCTTGCCTGTGAGATCATTCCATCAGGATCATTTTGCATGAAGTACAGTCCTTTATAAAACTTGACAGTGTCTGTATTTCCTCGCTGTCTTCATAGAATCTCAATGAGACAATGTGAATCTACACCTTCAACTGCTTTTGCCATTACTTCACATAGATTACAATCAAATCCAGATTTCACATTTTAAGAAACCAGAATGCTCAATATCTTCCTTTGATGACACTTGGAACTTATAAATGCAAACTTCTTATCTCATTTTATTTCATTTCTGTACACGTGGCTAGCTGTATTGAGAATGGTCTGCAGGTGGTCTAGTTATGTTTTTATTCCATTTAACAGGACACAAACATCCATTCTATATTGTCCTTCAGTGTTACTGTTTACTGGTAGTCAAACTCGTGCATGAGGTTAGGTAATTCATTTCCCTTGATAAGTTTCTTCTCTACTCCTGCCTCTGAGATAGCTGCTAGTCGTACCACACCACCACTGGACCCGTCTCTGTGCATGGCTAGAGTCAGGGCTGGACAGAGAAAGAATATTTACAAGCATTACTTAGTAGTTATTAATGAGTCAGACTCGTACTGAGCTGCCTCTTTAACAATCATTAGGTCTTTACTTTCCCCTGTCAAAGTCTTGGTCATGGCTTAAGTCAGGGCAGTAAAACTTATATATATAATGAACTCGACTTAAATCAATGCTGATTTATGATCTTTATATATATATATAATTTTTTATCATGCCATGGTTGTCTTCCATTTTAAAAATAGAAGACAAAAGCAACAAAATACATATATATCACTATTATTTTAGTCAACCCTTTCTGTCAAGGGAGTGGCTTAAATTTTAAAAACTTCTCATGTTTTCAAATTTCCAAGTTTCTTCAACACCATCTTTCCTTTTTGAAATGACCAGCCAACTGATAATCCCAAAACTGATCTTTAAAACATTACACCAACTAGTAATAGTGAAAGTATTGCATTTAATGTCCTAACCCCTATAGCACTTACTTCTAGCAGTAAAGTCCAGGCACTCCTCCTTTGTCATGCCTTTCTTAAATGTACTATCCACATATCCATATACATATGTACTACCAGAGCCTCCAATAGTGAATGGCTGCCGTACACACATACCACCAAGGGGGACGGAATACACCTGAAAATAAATAATAAATAATAATATACATTGACCATTTCTAATGAATAATACTATATGAATGCAGAGATGATAAATATGTAAAAACAAATGCCAAAAAGAACCCAGCTCTATACGGGGGGAGGGGGCTGGGTATAAATACAGCACCCAAATATCCGATATTTCCAGATAAAAGGACTTTCGTCTCTCAATGAATGACAAACTAGGTTGTATGCCACCAAGGGACAGCACATTTGGAAATAAATACATGAATAACTGGTACTAATTATACATCAATAGCTGCCTTTCACTTCTGACACCAAGTAACAGAGCAAGACAAAATGGTCATCATCATAATCAACCAATATATACTATATATATATATATATATATATCACCTGATAAATGTTAAATGTATTTCTGAACAAAAAGGTGCTATTTCTTAATTAGAAACACACAACTGCCCCTTTTCTTATCTACTTATTCTTGCTGCACCCTATTCAAATGTCATTTCCAGAGAGTTATACCTGTCCTCCCTTCAGTTTATCCCAGCCTGCCACTATGATCCCAGCAGACAGTTGGTCTCTGTTGTAATAGCAGAAATCTTTGAACTTGGTGGCTGCTGTCTTCACTAATGGCTCCTCCCCCAGCTCCATTCTGGAATTATATTAGTATAAGTCATTGCACAGGCTATTTTACATCTTTTATCTATTGATCTATTAAATTATTTATTAATTGGTATGTTTATTCAGCTGATTATTCTTCTAAATTAATCTTCTTAACTTTAAGACCAAAAATAATATTATCTTTTTGTTTTCGTGTTCTATAACATGGTACAATATATAAGAAGATACTGAAAAGACACCCAAAAAGCTGATTCTAATCTGCATTTGCACATGTTGAAACATTCCAAAAAGGGACCCTGAGTCACTCACTGGTGGAAGTTCAGATGGTAGTTTACAAGGTCTGCAATGGCCTGAGTGTCGGCTGCCGACCCTGAACGACAGCAGTAGATGTGGTCTGTCACTTTGGTTAATTTGTCGGTCACTCTGTTAGCAATGTAGGCTCTGAGAAAGGAAAAGAACATTTTCAGACATTATTTATTTTTTAAATTGGAACATTTAATGATTTTCATTAAATGCTTCTGGTTGTAACGTGATTGTTGTCATACAAGCAGATGAATCTAACCCTTATTACAAGAAAACAGCTTAATTGGCTTTATAGAATTGTGGGACTTGGGGAGGTGAGGTTACTAGTACATACATCTTTACATTTCATGGGTTAGTACATCTCTAACATAAACAGGGAAGCTAACACATAAATTTTAGTGTCAGCAGGACATCTGACTGTAATTATTAACTCACCCAGTTGTTGTCCTAGAATCTGCCCCAATAACTACACCTCCATCAAACTCCACTGCCATGATGGAGGTCTGCAAGAAATTATATATATATATATATATATATATATATATATATTAAACAATTAACATACATTATGACTTTTCTGAAAATAAATCTAGTCAAACCTCATCTTCAAAATCGTGTTACTTCAAATTCCCGTTCTTGCAGTCTAATCCTTCAATTAACAATTATGAATTCTGGTGAAAAATAGCGATCATAATAATTTTGTTTAATATAAGAAAAATGCAAAACATATTTCACTGTGTTATTTACAATGTGATAGTCTAGACTGTTATTATGACTTTCTGAGTGAAAGCAGAACATGGCACAACCATTGTCATTTGCAAGTCATGCGGAGTCACCAGTTTACAAGACTGTCATTCACTCAGTGAGTCTTTTTTCTACACCACATACGACATTTTAGGAGTCTTGGTTATTTTTTTAACTTACCCCAGTGCTATGTTCGCTGGTAAGCCAGTCTGGAGATAAATCAGACGATAAATTGTGAGATCGCAAAGAAGCCGGGTGCAATACTGTGGACGCCATTTTTATACTTTTCCAAGACAGGATAGTCCCCTAATCCTTTAGTACAGGTATATTATTTATTCAAAAATTAAAACCGAATAAATTATTCTGAGAATTGTGTAAATATCTAGATTTATACCAATAAAGTTAACGTCTTTTCAAGTTATTTTGGTGAAATGTTAACTCTGAAGGCAACAACATATGGGTAGTCTTGGCCAACCGTGCAGCCACCAAGCGGAATAGCAGAAAGAGAAAGAAGTGAAGCGCAGCGACAGGTAGGAAAACTAAACAAACATCCGTTTGTATTATGAATACGATTGATAAATGGACAAACATTTGACTAATAAACAAAGACATTATGTATTGGTCTACCAATTGTTATTCATTTAAATGTGTGTCATTAATTAGTCATCTTTAAATGATCACAAAAATTTAAAAATCTACACGGGACAACGTTCTAAAATGGAAGGCGTGACCTACTTTCGTTTATAGGACAGTGATAAATCTTCAAGGTCATTTCAAAGAAATATATGAAAAAAACTCTGACGCATCAGTAGGCTACATTAAGGGATTATTACAATTTTGCAATAAAAAATATATATTTTTTATCTACTCAGTATGCTTCTTTTTTGGGATACTGGTACCTACAGGTGCGACAGAAGACCAGTCAATTAAAAATTCATCATCATGATCAGCTACACGTCTCCTTTGTAGAACTCACAAGTCCAATTAGTTCAAAACACTAATACATATAGTAAGATTAAATTCTTCAAAACCATTTGTAAAAACAGGACCGATTTTAAGGTTTTATTAACAAGAAAAATGTTTCTTTCAATGACTGCCCTGTGATAGTAGTAAGGAAAAACTTAAAAGCCTTTTTAATAATAATATGGTTTATTTGTCTCCTTAAGCTTAAGTTATTACTTGGTATTTATAAATTTTTGAATAATCTTTGACTTTGTGGGTATAAATTTTTTATGTATGTCAAGCCAGCACTAGAACTGTGCAGAAAAATCTCAAGATGCAGAGGACGAAGACCACTTCTATTCAGTATGGACGACTATCGGCACCTGTAGTGCAACGAACGGTAGTGACACGACCTGTAGTTCAGCAGACAGTAGTGGCGCCATCTGTAGTTCAGCACACAGTAGTGACACCACCGGCACAGGACGTCAGTATCTGCCCTGGGTAATTAAGACAACTATTTCTTTTTCATTTCTTTCTTTAATTTTTTTCCTTTCCTTTATTTCTTTCCTTACTTTTATTATTTTTTTAATACATTTTTTGGTAGTACTGATATAAACACTAGGTCTCCATGATTTTTATTATATTTTTTTTCCAAAATCAATTGCAATACATCATGTATAACCTGTGTATTACATATATTGTTTTCCAGGTACATGAGCAAGGCTTCAGTTGGCTTGGGAATAACCCAGATTGTTATTGGAGTGCTTTGTGTGGTATTTGCCATAGTCTTCATGGTACTTTTCCCTGATGGTACCAGACCCCAAGTGGTCAATTCCAACACTGCCGCGGGGATATGGCTGGGAGTCCTGGTTAGTTAGAACAATTGATAATAATGATTAAAAAAGTAATCAAGATAATGGCAATTATATTGATAAAGAGAACAAAGACAGTAATGATAATAATTATGCCAATAGAAGTAATGAAAAAGTAGTAAAAACAGTAATACTAATGAGAAGAACAGTTATAGAAGAACAAAAGCAAAAATGAAAATAGTTGTAATCGATAAAAATGTAAGTGGTGATGATAATGATATTGATAATAATAGCCATATTCTTACCCTGAAAAAAATCTAAAAATCAATTGTTCATTGTTCTTTGAAAATACAAAATATAAAATTATTACTTATTCTGAATTTGAGAAATTTGTTAAATTAAAAAAAAAACATTGGATAATTGGAGGGAATTAAAGCTGCTCTTCTTGATGAATAATTCATCGTCATCATTAATGGTTATAAACAAATAATGATATGTGTTAAGTAAGGGCATTAAGTTAAGTTGCTATGTCAAAATATTTTTCACTTAGTTCATTGTCACTGGAATCCTGGGTGTACTTGCATCAAAGAAGAACAAATGTATGGTGAGTAATATATTATATTAATTTTATTATACCTCTTGTGTAATTGTTGTTTAAGTTTATAGGGTTTTCATATTTTGGTAACTCAAGAATGTCCAGTTTAAAATCAGCTCGTAAAATCAGCTCTTAATGTTTGATTCTGTCAACTTCTGTCTGTTCCTGTTTTTTATTCTTGCTATATTTTTTTCTTTCACAGATAATCAGCTTTATGATCCTGGTGATCTTTGCTGGTGCCGGAGCAGGCCTTATCCTGTTGACTATTTCTGCCATCGACATGAATTACGCCCGAGAAGCCTATGATTCCTATGATCCCTATGATTCCTTTGATGACTTTTTCACCACTCTGGCTCCACCTTCACGAGTAAGTTGCTCTGAGAAAGATCCCATTTGCTGTTTTAAATAATTTCCATCATTATTATTGACTTATCTTAAGGGTGTTTGTAAAATGTAGTTACAAGATATTTGTATTTGTAGGAATTTTAGTTTTAACCTTTTGGGGGTTAACTACTGGGAGTATGTGATTTATTTATTTATTTATTTATTTATTTATTTATTAGTATTTGTCTCACCACCTATTTAAAAGTATTCATGCTCCCACTGAATGGCCATTGTCTCAGGGCTGTAAACACTCAAAACTTACTTTGTAACATTATATCCAGTAGTTCCCTCTGACCATCCTTAACTGCAGTGTATTTAATTATATATAATAAACTAATGATTTGATATAATTATAATTGTTTACAATTAAACAGGATGTTCGTAGGGAGGTGAAGGCTCTGGCCACCTGTATGCTGGCCCTGTCTATTGTGGAGGGGATTATTGCCTGTATTTCCTTTGGAATCACCTGCCATGGCCTGTGTTGTAGGAGCACCCAGGTATTGTATTTATATCTGGTACAAGTACTACATGTATAAGGTGTATAAGATTCCTGATGTGATTTTGTTTTTATTAAGTCCAATGTCCATTTTTTCTGGGTTTTCCACTTGAAAGGGACATACATAAAATATAATAAGAACATGTTTTTGATGGTTTGTATTCCTCAGGGAACCGTCATTACAACCGTCCCAGCTGTCGCAGCGGTCCAAACGCAGCCATCAGTGACTGTCACCAGAACTGTCACCACTTCTCCATGCCCACAGTATGGTTACAATCAAGGTAAGTTTGCATGTGCATGCACACACACGCACGCACGCATGTGCAGCTGGACTTGCAGTAAAGAGGGGAATGAGACGTATTTTCCTTTCTTCCCTTTTACATATTGTTTTAAAAGCTTCATGTTAATATACTTAGTAACAACATTTAGTCTTACATAGCAAGTGTGCTGGCACGCATTCGCACACACTCACTCACACACTTATGCAAATGTGCACATTCACACACATACATGTACTTTAACACCCCTTTTAACTTAGCAATATACTTACTCCATATCTTCCAGGAATGATCCACCAAGCTCCAGCTGGATATGGACAGCCACCCCCGGCTTACTCTGCTGGTCCTCCTCAGCCCCCTGCCTACACGAATGTTGTGTAATATCTCTACTGGACTCCCTCAGACACCTGCTTACACATACCAACACTGGGTTATATATCATGGAGCAGTCCTGGTTTTTACACTGTTGTTGTATATATTTTCCAACTCTTTTTGATGAAATGACACATAAAAGGAAGGAATCTTTGAAGTTTGAAGAGACTGTGGCGGAGAGTTTGTCAGCTGGTTCCACAGATGCAGCAATATATTTTAGTATTTGTACACGAGACTGAAACTTTGGCATTCTCCCTCTCTCCAAGCCTCTGTCAAATCAAGCTGTTTGATAGCTTAGTTTCCGTTTCATAAATACAAAGTTAATGAACATAACTTATAATATAGTTAGGCCAGACAAAATTAATCACAAGGTTAATGAGCTGCCACTCTCTGAAAATAAGTTCTTTAGTAGATTAAATATACCAAATGCATTTTTTTTTCATTTGAAAAAAAAAGAGGAAACTGATTTCTTCAAAATGAGGATTGGCCACACTTGTTAACCAACTAAACAACTTTGCCTGGTCTTAGTAATAGATTCTCGCTGATGTCTCACCTAAATATCAACCAGTGTTGACATTTATTGATGACAGACTTGAAGACACGTTCCATACAACTTGTTAACTAATTTGGGTATTATGAATGATTCAAATAATTATTCTATTTTGGGTACGGGACAGTTGTATCTCCAGGAACTTGAGTAGATGTCCTAATTTTTTCGCTAAGATATACAATTTACATTCCAGAAATTCTTGTTCCATTTATATAATTTTCTATTTTTGAAATTGTTAAATGATACAATAATACACATACTGTAAGAATTCACTTTTTTGTATAAGTTCAAAAATGCTAGATTATAAAGTTGTATTATATATTGTTGTCACAGACGTTGTTTCATTGTGTGATCAACCTTTCTAAAAGGAGAAGTCTAACTGCCATGATAATTACGTAAACTGCATAATTATGTGAATTTCTGTTTTTTAATTTTGTTGGAATGCTCCATTTTTTGCAGTGTTATTGCTTTGTTTGGTTTTTGACGTGTTTTTTATTTGTAGTTAGTGAAATGTCACTAACTTTAAAATAATCTGATTTTAAACCTCAGCATTTACCATTTAGCGCTTCAGTGGGTATTATACCATGTCAGTGTTTTCCTGTTTTATTTTTATTTTTTCGAAGAGATTACAAGTTGCTTGATATATTCGTTTTGAAATGTTTTGCTATATTTGCGATCGGTGGTACATTCACTTACTAGTAGAATATTTCTGCTTGACATGCATATTGCACATATTAATTTTTTAACAATATTCATATTTTGTGAACTAGTTCTTTCTGTAACGATATATATATTAATGTATCCCAGACAACTGGTTGATTATTGTTTGTGTACAGGGTTTTGTGCAGGGTCGCGGGCCCCGAAGGGCGGGGCGGGGGGGGGGGGGGGCTGTCCAATATTATTTTAAAGAGGGGATACATGGCTACATTATCCTCTCCCTGTATGATGGATCTGTCATTGTTTTGTGATATTTATCCCAGATGTGAGATTTATAATCTGTATTTAACCGTAGCATCTTTAATATATTTTTACAGTAAGTTGGTTATTGTCGCAGTAAAAAAAACAATATACAGTTATGTTTAGGAAGCTGAGCCATGCTTGCCTATTTTGTGTTTATTGGAACATTTATTTTTAATTCCAGAAAATAAAAGAATTCACAGTATATTTGTTATTTTCTGCTCTTCTTTCCTTATGTTCGACTGCTGCAAAAGCTGCCCCAGCGTTTTGATTGGCAAAGTGAATCATTTCTATTTATTCGCCCCAATTATTTCATTAATATTTTATACAAATGTCCACGTATGGAAATATACGTTTAAGTACATCGCATAATTATACAGGATGAGTTACGAGTGCTTACTCTCTACCAGGGCGACAGATTAATTTTTCACTAGAATTTCACAGATACGTCTCTGGTTACTTCACGGCACATTTCTCCACTGTGTTGGAGAAACGTGCACATATAATTAATCTGCGGCCCCTGTAGAGAATAACGAGTGTGCGACTTGCCCCCGTCTCCGATATGGAAGATCCAGAGATATAGGTCCTATCTTCTCCATCTGGCACAACAATGGGTGTCTGTTTACATTTATTAATATTTTTAATAAGGGGATATAAAATGTCTAGCATATGATGAACTCTTAACTGTACTGATAACCTTAAGTGAGAATTAATTTGTTCTTGTATTCGAAAACCGGTATGGTCAAAATCCCAACAAGTGCAAATACTACAGAACTGATGCGCGCTGATCGCATTAGTTTTAAATAATCTTATACGGATTCTTTGTATTCAAACCGACAGCCGGGCCTCTCCACTAGAAATGATTTTCACTTGAATAAAAGAAATAACATTAAAAAATAATAATAAATCACGGAATATTATTCAAAAATTGGAAAATAAATCAAGACGCATATTGTAAGAGATAAACAGTCAAACTGTAGCATGGGACTGCCGTCAAGGATCCATTCTGTTTGTATACGGTCTTCTGTAACAAAATCATACACCCTTTCATATTATACAGTATATGGTAGATAAAACTATAAGTGGCACGAATGATCGCGAGTTGAACCTTGGGGTCCCGGTAAAGGATAAATTGTTGTATTGAAACTCAATACCTTGATCAAAATTGACTTCTCTTTTTTTGTGTAAAACCAGTGCACCGTTAAACCCATATGACGAAAACAATTTTCACTTCTCTGGCGTTATGAATTATTTGTAAAGCTTACCATATTATGGATTTTTTTCAAGGCGCTGAACTGGGACAGACACATTATTTCTTTAACCGTGCCTGGGTTTTATGCAGTCACCTTGAACGCAGACTGTATATATACCCTCTACCAGGGCCACAGATTTATTACGTGCACTTATCTCTAACAAAATGCAGAAGAGCTTTAACCAGCGACATTTGTAAATCTAGTGAAAAAATCAAACCGTGGCCCCGGAAGAGGGTAGGCTGTATACAGATTCTGAAACTAAATTCCTCCCCCCCCCCACCCCAGCGCGTTATAATGTGATGGTGATATGCATATTTATAAAATTATTTGTTAAGGAATAAGGAGAGCGTGACCCAGCGCACAGGATCTCTCTCTCTCTCTCTCTCTCTCTCTCTCTCTCAGGTAATGTGTACCATCCTAAACACTCGAGGTATCTTGCCTTTCTCCAGCCCCCACCGAAACAGAAAAAGTGAGCTAGCGAAACGACACAAAACCAAACCATTCCCTACTCTACTACCTGTACATATTACAGTAAATTCCCTTGGTCTCATATGTTGATATTACTATCCTTGTTCGCTTTTCATTTGCAAAACCAGTGAATAGATGCATCCCTGCGTTCATCATCTCCCAGGGTCGTCACGGGGTCGAAAACCGTTCCACCCCTCTCACAACCCATAGCGACTATAATAATAGGGTTTGGCGACGAGGCATCCGATTAGATGGTGAAATACGATGCAGTCTTACCCATCTCTCTCTCTCTCTCTCTCATTTTTTTTTCACTTTTGGAATGACTTAATACTTAAACAAGAGACTTGGGTAAAATGACTGATCGTATTGATGAGGAACTTTTTCTCGCCTAATGGAACTGGTTTGCGTTACCGGCCAGATTGACGAAAACCTATCAGCTGACGAGTTTTTTTCACGGGATACATACCGAAGTCTTCGTTTTTTTATAGTTGTTTAATATGCGTGTGAGTATATACATCGAACGTCACTTAAGTAAACACTGCAGTCTGAACTAACGACAAAGAAATCAGCACCTCGCTTTAACCTGGTACGTAACCGATATATGTTAAGTGGGTATTCACAGTACTCTGTTGACGCTGGCCTATTGAGTCCGCGTTATTGACTTACGGACTGAGTATTACGCAAAGGACTGCGAATCACCAAGGATTGCTGACTTATCCCTGATTTTTAGCTTTTTTTGACACGAGAAAGGAAGACTCGGGTAAGCCATGTGAACTTCTGTATTATTAAGGGTAGATTTAAGACGCCACAGAGAACGCAGATGAGTTAAAATGATATCACGATTAAACGGACAAAATGTAGCTTAGTCTGAGGTTATTTTATTCCATGACTACCGGTAAATATTTAGGGCCACAACTGCTTAAGCAAACATATAACTTTTTAAAATTATTTCCTGTTTTGCACTTGTCTACCAGTGCATTAAGATTTCTGCCCTTGACATTTTGTGAGATATTTAGCCACGTCGTTGCGGGGTTATACCCCTCACAGATGGTTGGAAATAGTATTCGATTAAAACTGTGGAGGTTTCAGTTGCATAATGAAGAAATGAACTGCACGTTAATGTCTGCTGAACGTCATTTCTTGGGATCATATGGTCCAAACGATTGACAAATATGTATCTAGTCAATTTGTCGCGTTCTTTAGTGATACCAATCATAATCGGTTATTAACAAAATTTTGGAGCCCCCCTTTTCGTGTTTTACTGTCATTGTAAGTGTCGTTATTAGAGCATTGGCAATCTAGAACAGTCATAGTTCAAGTGTGCAAACTTGGCAGTCAGAGAGAGAGAGAGAGAGAGAGAAATAGAAAGAGAATGATCGCAGTTAGTCCCCAAAGATTTTTAACAGTAGAGTCCAGTGCTGCACAATGCATTGTCCAAGCACACTGTCCACTTCAAGGCAACACGACTTATTGAATGCATAAAACCATATGGGCATAATCCGCTTTTCAATTGAAGTACTGCACAAATAACCGAACCGCTCTCACTTTAAACACTGAAGGTAAATCGTTAACGGNGGGGGGGGGGGGGGGGGTTAGAAAGAAACACCCGTTTTGCTGAGAAAAGGTCCACCCTGGGTAAAATTTGATCTAGGTACATGAAGTTTTTATGGAAAAAGGTCCACTTTTTCAGAAAAAGAACCCCCCTTTTGAAATTGCTGGCTATGGGCCTGTATGAGATGTATAAGATTCCTGAGGTGATTTTGTATTTTATTCAAGTCCAATGTCCATTTTTTGGGTTTTCCATCTGAAAGGGACATACATTAGATATAATAAGAACACATTTTTTGATGGTTTGTATTCCTCAGGGAACCGTCATAACAACCGTCCCAGCTGTCGCAGCGGTCCAAACGCAGCCATCAGTGACTGTCACCAGAACTGTCACAACTTCTCCATGCCCACAGTATGGTTACGATCAAGGTAATTTTGCATGTGCACGCACGCATGTGCAGCTGACATGTATATTCCTTTCTTCTTTTTTACATATATTTATATTTTAAAAGCTTCATGTAAATGTACTTTGTAACTACATTTAGTCTTACATAACGTGTGCTGGCACGCACTCACACTCACACACACACACCTATGCAGATGGACACATGTATACACATACATGTACACATAAACACCCCTTTCAACTTATCAATATACTTACTCCATATCTTCCAGGAATGATCCACCAAGCTCCTACTGGATATGGACAACCACCCCCGGCTTACTCTGCTGGTCCTCCTCAGCCTCCTGCCTACACAAATGTTGTGTAATATCTCTACTGGACTCCCTCAGACCCCTGCTTACACATACCAACACTGGGTTATATATCATGGAGCAGTCCTGGTTTTTACACTGTTGTTGTATATATTTTCCAACTCTTTTTGATGAAATGACACATAAAAGGAAGGAATCTTTGAAGTTTGAAGAGACTGTGGCGGAGAGTTTGTCAGCTGGTTCCACAGATGCAGCAATATATTTTAGTATTTGTACACGAGACTGTAACTTTGGCATTCACCCTCTCTCCAAGCCTCTGTCAAATCAAGCTGTTTGATAGCTTAGTTTCCGTTTCATAAATACAAAGTTAATGAACATAACTTATAATATAGTTAGGCCAGACAAAATTAATCACAAGGAGCTGCCACTCTCTGAAAATAAGTTTTTTAGTAGATTAAATATACCAAATGCATTTTTTCATTTTAAGAAAAAGGGGAAACTGATTTCTTCAAAATGAGGATTGGCCACACTCGTTAACCAACTAAACAACTTTGCCTGGTCTTAGTAATAGATTCTTGCTGATATCTGACCTAAATATCAACCAGTGTTGACATTTATTGATGACAGACTTTAAGACATGTTCCATACAACTTGTTTACTAATTTGGGTATTATGAATGATTCAAATAATTTTTCTATTTTGGGTACGGGACAGTTGTATCTCCAGGAACTTGAGTAGATGTCCTAATTTTTTCGCTAAGATATACAATTTACATTCCAGAAATTCTTGTTCCATTTATATAATTTTCTATTTTTGAAATTGTTAAATGATACAATAATACACATACTGTAAGAATTCACTTTTTTGTATTAGTTCAAAAATGCTAGATTATAAAGTTGAATTATATATTGTTGTCACAGACATGTTGTTTCATTGTGTGATCAACCTTTCTAAAAGGAGAAGTCTAACTGCCATGATCATTACGTAAACTGCATAATTATGTGATTTTCTGTTTTTTATTTTTGTTGGCATGCTCCATTTTTTGCAGTGTTATTGCTTTGTTTGGTTTTTGACGTGTTTTTTATTTGTAGTTAGTGAAATGTCACTAACTTTAAAATAATCTGATTTTAAACCTCAGCATTTACCATTTAGTGCTTCAGTAGGTATTATACCATGTCAGTGTTTTCCTGTTTTATTTTTATTTTTTCGAAGAGATTACAAGTTGCTTGATATATTCGTTTTGCTATATTTGCAATCGTTGGTACATTCACTTACTAGTAGAATAATTCTGCTTGACATGCATATTGCACATATTAATTTTTTAACAATATTCAGATTTTGTGAATTAGTTCTTTCTGTAACGATATATATACATATTAATGTATCCCAGACAACTGTTATTGTTTGTGTACAGGGTTTTGTGCAGGGCCGGGGGGTGGGGTGGGGGGGCTGTTCAATATTATTTTAAAGAGGGGATACATGGCTACAATATCCTCTCCCTGTATGATAGATCTGTCATTGTTTTGTGATGTTTATCCCAGATGTGAGATTTATAATCTGTATTTAACCGTAGCATTTTTATTTTTACAGTAAGTGGGTTATTGTTGCAATAATATATATATATATGTTTAGGAAGTTGGGCCATGCTTGCCTGTTTTGTGTGTATTGGGACATTTATATTTAATTCTAGAAAATAAAAGAATTCACAGTATGTCTGTTGTTTTCTGCTCTCCTTTCCTTATGTTTGACTGCTGCAAAAGCTCCCACTGTTATGATAGGAAAAGTGAATCATTTTTATTTGTCCAGAACATTTATTTCATTAATATTTTATACAAATGTCCACGTATGGAAATATACATTTATGTACATTGAATAATTATACAGGATGAGTTACGAGTGCTTACCGTCTACGAGGGCGACAGATTAATTTTTCACTAGAACATTCGCCGATATGTCTCTGGCTAATTCACGGCACATTTCTCCACTGTGTTGGAGAAACGTGCACATATAATTAATCTGCGGCCCCTGTAGAGAATAACGAGTGTGCGACTTGCCCCCGTCTCCGCGCTGATATGGAAGATCCAGAGATAATAGGTCCTATCTTCTCCATCTGGCACAACAATGGGTGTCTGTTTAAATTTATTAATATTTTTAATAAGGGGATATAAAATGTCTAGCATATGATGAACTCTTAACTGTACTGATAACCTTAAGTGAGAATTAATTTGTTCTTGTATTCGAAAACCGGTATGGTCAGAATCCCAAGGAGTGCAAATACTACAGAACTGATGCGCGCTGATCGCATTAGTTTTAAATCATCTTATACGGATTCTTTGTATTCAAACCGGCAGCCGGGCTTCTCCACTAGAAATGATTTTCACTTGAATAAAAGAAATAACATAAAAAAAAAATAAATCACGGAATATTATTCAAAAATTGGAAAATAAATCAAGACGCATATTGTAAGAGACAAACAGTCATAAGCTCCCGACAAGGATCCGTTCTGTTTGTATTGGGTCGTCTGTAACAAAATCATACACCCTTTCATATTATTCAGTATATGGTAGATAAAACTATAAGTGGCACGAATGATCGCGAGTTGAACCTTGGGGTCCCGGTAAAGGATAAATTGTTGTATTGAAACTCAATACCTTGATCAAAATTGACTTCCCTTTTTTTGTGTTTAACCAGTGCACCGTTAAACCTATATGACGAAAACAATTTTCACTTCTCTGGCGTTATGAATTATTTGTAAAGCTTACCATATTATGGATTTTTTTCAAAGCTGAACCGGGACAGACAGATTTTCTCATTATAATAAACCGCACCTGGGTTTTATGCAGTCATCTTGAACGTAGACTGTATATACCCTCTACTAGGGCCGCAGATTTATAAGATGCACTTATCTCTAATAAAATGCAGAAGAGTTTTAACCAGCGACATTTGTAAATCTAGTGAAAAAATCAATCCGTGGCCCTGGAAGAAGGTAGGCTGTATACAGATTCTGAAACTGAATTCCTCCCCCCACCCCACCCCAGCGCGTTATAATGTGATGGTGATATGCAGACTTATAAAATTATTTGTTAAGGAATAAGGAGAGCGTGACTCAGCGCACAGGATCTCTCTCTCTCTCTCTCTCTCTCTCTCTCTCTCTCAGGTAATGTGTACCATCCTAAACACTCGAGGTATCTTGCCTTTCTCCAGCCCCCACCGAAACAGAAAAAGTGAGCTAGCGAAACGACACAAAACCAAACCATTCCCTACTCTACTACTTGTACATATAACAGTAAATTCCCTTTGTCTACTATTTTGATATTCCTATCCTTGTTCGCTCCTCATTTGCAAACCCAGTGGATAGATGCACTCCTGCGTTCATCATCTCCCGGGGTCGTCACGGGGTCGAAAACCGTTCCACCCCTCTCGCCACCCATAACGACGATAATAGTAGGGTTTGGCGACGAGGCATCCGATTAGATGGTGAAATACGATGTAGTCTTACCCAGCTCTCTCTCTCTCTCTCTCTTTCTCTCATTTTTATTATTATTATTATTTTTTTTTGCTTTTTTTTGGAATGACTTACACTTTAACAAGAGACTTGGGTAAAATGACTGATCGTATTGATGAGGAACTTTTTCTCGCCTAATGTAACTGGTTTGCGTTACCGGCCAGATTGACGAAAACCTATCAGCTGACGGGTTTTTTTCACGGGATTCATACCGAAGTCTTCGTTTTTTTATAGTTGTTTAATATGCGTGTGAGTATATACATCGAACGTCACTTAAGTAAACACTGCAGTCTGAACTAACGACAAAGAAATCAGCACCTCGCTTTAACCTGGTACGTAACCGATATATGTTAAGTGGGTATTCACAGTACTTACGGACTGAGTATTACGCAAAGGACTGCGAATCACCAAGGATTACTGACTTATCCCTGATTTTTAGCTTTTTTTGACACGAGAAAGGAAGACTCGGGTAAGCCATGTGAACTTCTGTATTATTAAGGGTAGATTTAAGACGCCACAGAGAACGCAGATGAGTTAAAATGATATCACGATTAAACGGACAAAATGTAGCTTAGTCTGAGGTTATTTTATTCCATGACTACCGGTAAATATTTAGGGCCACAACTGCTTAAGCAAACATATAACTTTTTAAAATTATTTCCTGTTTTGCACTTGTCTACCAGTGCATTAAGATTTCTGCCCTTGACATTTTGTGAGATATTTAGCCACGTCGTTGCGGGGTTATACCCCTCACAGATGGTTGGAAATAGTATTCGATTAAAACTGTGGAGGTTTCAGTTGCATAATGAAGAAATGAACTGCACGTTAATGTCTGCTGAATGTCATTTCTTGGGATCATATGGTCCAAACGATTGACAAATATGTATCTAGTCAATTTGTCGCGTTCTTTAGTGACACCAATCATAATCGGTTATTAACAAAATTTTGGAGCCCCCCTTTTCGTGTTTTACTGTCATTGTAAGTGTCGTTATTAGAGCATTGGCAATCTAGAACAGTCATAGTTCAAGTGTGCAAACTTGGCAGTCAGAGAGAGAGAGAGAGAGAGAGAGAAATAGAAAGAGAATGATCGCAGTTAGTCCCCAAAGATTTTTAACAGTAGAGTCCAGTGCTGCACAATGCATTGTCCAAGCACACTGTCCTCTTCAAGGCAACACGACTTATTGAATGCATAAAACCATATGTACATAATCCGCTTTTCATTTGAATTACTGCACAAATAACCGAACCGCTCTCACTTTAAACACTGAAGGCAAATCGTTAACAGCTCTGAATGCACGTGGGTCTATGGTAGTGGTCAAACAGAGTTCACACAGGCTGGTCGATCGATCGATCTCAGTGCCGTCATCTCGTTAACTTCTTTTGGTTATGAATGAAGTTCTAATCAAACCAGCGTGATGATCGATCCACTTAATGTGTTCACCCGTAGATCACCTGTCAGGGTCAGAGTAATTGCGATAAGAGTCACTGTGTTAGGTTAGCAGTACCCTCTACCAGCGCCAAAGATTGACTGTTCACAGAATATTCACATATACGTCTTTAGATAAATAGACGGCCATTTAACCATTTCTGGTTTCCCCCGTTTTTCTCTATATAATCTGCCACCCTGGTAGAGGGTAGGTTAGCAGTACACACAGTATAATAAATACCAATAACTCCGATCTGAGTCTTGTATGAGAGTACTCTCTACCTGAGGCCCGCCGGGCAATAACTTTATTTATTTATTTATTTATTTATTTATTTATTTATTTATTTGTCTGTTTGTTTATTTTTCCTAAATTCTTGTTCACAGTACGGAAATATGAACTTTTTTAGTCTGTTATGTGCTAGTCACTCTGGTAAAGGAGATGGACACTGTAACGAGAGAAATCAGTTATGTTAAGGGCACGAAAACAGATTTATAGTTTTTCATTTTTTTCAATTTCTTTGGATAGGGTATGCCTTGATGATGGGGTTCGGGTTTGATAAAATTGTTGAGGAGTAAATGCATTAGCCTTAAACAACTGTTACAATTGAAGTTCTTTTGCTTTGATAATAAGCAAGAAATCGTCGAAATTTCAATGAAAAAATGTATGGAGCGCCCTAAACTCGAGTCATAATACTACATGTGAATAAATGAACTTTCAGGTTTTGTGAATGGCAGTGCATTAAAAGCCAGCAGACGATATCTGACCACATATCTGCCCAAGGCCATGATGACCGGGAAACTTTGATAGTCGGGGTATAGACCCGCTGACCCTATAAAGGACGCCCAGTGCGGCTCTGTATGTGACTTGATGGCAAACAGCGTCGCCCTTAGACACATCACCAGAGCGTATTTCATTCTGCTATGGCGTAAGTCTTTTATTAATTAAACACGTAAATCAAGGTGGACCAAAATGTTACTGTAGGTTAACTAAAAAGAAAGAAAAAACCCTTGAGTAAAGATAATGACAAAGAAGTTAATTAGATTATTCAATTAAAATATATGAACAACTTTTCGTATATATTGTATTCGATGTATCTAATGTCATAGGAGATAATGACGCACACAAAATACCCGATTCTGGTAGAAACATACTTATGGAATGTACATAGTTTAAATTACCGTCCGCGTTTGAAGATATCCTGGAGTCATTCCCAAATCGGACTTTAAAACTGTTTGTACACTTTCTGTAATTGGTCTGAGAAGGAAGACATTTCGATTGAAATGTTGAGCCTACGGGAAACATTTAGAACTAAACTACTAAGTTAAAATGATACAAAACGTCGAATCCAAGGGCAAGACGGGCCCAGTTTTGATTTGTGAATAGGAGAAAGTTGCTTCGTTTCGAGGAAAATTCAGTTTGGCGGGAATATCCGAGATAAGTTACCTTCAAGTTGGAAAATAACAATTGCAGTAGGTGAGATGGAAATTGTTACGCTCAGCCAAGCGGGAATCAAAATGCAGCAGCTATCATTACTTTACTACTACCGCATTGCCGTTGTATAAAAAACACACTGCCCGGCCGCGGGTAATTAATCAGTAACATTGGCATAACCTCGTCCCCGTGCCAGGGTTACCCAACCATGTTAAGGCGAGTTTACTGTTGTCTCTTCAATACAGTTGAAGGTGAACTGATAGTAGCGCGCGAAAGAAACTTCATGACAACAAATTTTTATTTCAATATTAAAAAAAAAAAAAAAAAAAAAAAAAAAAAAAAAAAAAACATCAGCCGTGACATTCGCTGGGAAGACGTCCACACAGTTTCTGCAGTAGGTGGCTATGTTGGATTTTTGTGAACCAATATTTAGGCTTCTGTGTAGTCACTGTGACTTTCCAAGTGTGTTAACCTAAAATGTGCAGCAGCTCACGGGATGGGAATACAAAGTCATCAGAATTAAATGGGCCACGAAACATGAACATCAGTAAATGGAGTTGGTCACACCACACTACATATACAGTGTATCTGTTCTACGATGCCTCTTAAGGTTATCTATACTGATGTAAAATATTCACAAGAAACGCTCAACCGTAGCGTGGAGACGATCATTTCATCTTCACCGCTGTTCTCTAGGATTTCGGGGATTTATTCATAAGATGACCAGAAAATGTTCATGGAAAGAATGAAATGATTGGGAAAGTAAGTCCAGAATAGGCTAGCACAGTATGTACTGTATAGCACCGGTATGAAAGAGACAATGTCAAACTGTAACTGCTGGCAGGCTGCAGTAAAAAATCCCTCAGTGTGCCGGCAGATTAAATGTATATACCGATGTATATAGACAGTGAACCACATAGACACTGCAACAGCGAACGTTTAATACACGTATAGTAAGCACCGTAAAAAACGCCGCCAGTCTGTGCATTGTCCATCCCGGTGTCTCAGCCCATGTTAATCTGAGGACGGATACAAAGAGACCACAGTTCTGCCGTACAGCGTTATCTACTGTGTGTTACTGCTGCTGCATCTGAATTTATTAAAATTATCCTAATTCATGTACAAAAGCACATAGAAGTCATTGTGGTCCAACACAAGTCCCATCTTTTGAAGTTAAGACGTTCTATTAAAGACGACTTTCTAAGACGATTAGTCCTGCTGATGTGTTGTAAACTATAACTGCTACACTCTCCCATAGACTCTAACGCCTAACAGTGATGGTAGTCGCTAAAGAAGACCCCGGAGCTCCCGCATTTTCAATATTCAAGAGATCTTCTCAAGTGAAGACGGCTGCATATAGATTCTTGAACTAGCGTGTATAGCTCATAACTCAAACCAGGACCCTGCACATAACCTCTTGTTGTTATAATCCGTGGGTAACCCTCACGGGATTTTGAGCGTCTTTGAGAGCGAATTTGGCTCATGACATTTCACCATTATCAATATTTCGGTGCATTTTAAGGATGGAGTCGCTGGTCTGTTTTACAGGTCTATCCAAGAGAGGATTTGGAGTCATTTTGCTGCTGTGCATGGTCGGGATTATGGTCGGTTTTCTGGGTGTGGAGTTTCAGTACACTGCTAAAATTGCGCTGCAAATACCAGGTAAGCAATGTTATTATTATTATTCATATGCTGTTTCACGCTTTATTTATTGTACCACGGTAGGCGATCTATGTCTCTCTCTACGACAAAGCCTTCATTTAGAAAGACTGCTCTTAAATCTCCTAATTTCAACGACTGGGATGCGATGTCAGTAACGAGATAAGGATATACACAGCTGTGAAATAGAAAAAAATTCTCGGTGTGCAAAGGAGACTACGGCATGGGTGTGCGAATAACAGAGATAAATTATTTTACTAGCCTTTGAACCCAGGGTGTTGTTTAGAAATTGACTCGTGGCACTTGTAAATAGACTACCCGTATATCGTAGTAAGTCATTAAACACGACTGCCCGCACGCTAACCCCACGCCAAGTATTAACGCCGTATTAATGGCCTCGACGTATCATACCATGAAATCAAGTGAGTTAATGTGGGCATTAGGGGTCCAACTTACATATATTAAATGGAGAAGGCTTTTTACAATAATAAATCAGTGGTGAATCCTGGGGGGAGGGAGGGGGGCATATAGTGGACAGACTATTTCTTCATTATCTGCTTCGAAGGTACGTTGTTACAATGTACATGTACGGTATCCCCATCTTTCCATACTCCCCCCCCCCCTCACACACACTCTACAAAAATCAGTTTAACAAGCGAAAGTAGACAAAACCAATTAATTTAAATTCTCCATTTCTGTGCCCTGAATATATTATTGTAAAAGAACGCGTGTACTGCTTTATATTTGCCCTGGTGTAGTAGCTAGTATTATGAAGACCCTACCTCCCCCTCCACCACACCCTCGATCCCCTCCTATACTTATTGATTTTCGTAGATCCTCAGGCGTAATTCATGTACTTCAGTATTAAACAAATGTACATCCATGAATAGCGTGCATTCGTTCGGTATCTTCAAAAGGAATAAGCCGCATCATTGTTACATTATTGTATAGACTACCGAAACTGAAGCGGTTTTGTTTATAAAGACTGTATGAGAAAACTACAAAATTATCTTAGTATATCCTGTAGAGTCACGTAATGGAGCCTCAGAGCGGAATGCGGTATAACAGAGATAGACCCCATTCCCAGAAATTAGATCGATCCAAACTAGATCGACCTAACTCCCTGGGGGTTCACGCTAAATAGCTGTCAACCGAGCGGGCACGAAATTTAATTACCCCCTTACAGTTTGTAGTAGGCGGGACGGACATTTAAGCCGGATTATCTGACAGTAATCTGGTGAGACTTCCCACGGGGATAGATCGATCTAAAATCTATGGGAATACGCCCATAGTAGATTTGGGGAATCTTTCCTGTGATACATCTACCCTATAATACCATTACGTATTTCAATTTTTGAAATTGTCTCTTATCCAATTTTCCAGGACCCTCTGTTCGTGTGTACACTGGACCCCCTCAAAATCTCAACAAGACCCGGGACCCTTTGATTTTAGGACACCTGCCGGACCTTGGTGTGGCGGGGGCTCCAGATGGGCAACCCAAACTTCCACCAACCCCTCCTAAGCCGTCCACTCCGTTACGGCTCGACCGTCGTCCCACAAACACATCTTTCTTACAGAAAGGTGGAATTAGTGATACTAGTGGTGATGACGAACGGAAGCGGGTCATATCAGAGGAAATATACAAGACGCTTGGAGTTAGGGTACGTAGTAGTACTTAAATGAATGTTTTTGATTATTTTGCTGCATATGAATGGCAAATTCAAGTATCAGAGAAAATATGTCTTAAGACTGATGTCCATTCTTAGTTAATAAAGAATCGGGTCTGTCAGTGAATAGCTGTTAATGGACCTTGTTAGTTGTGCTTTTTAGGGGTCTGAATGACGGTGGCTCATGCATATGTGGTAACTTTATCACACACTTAAGAATTCTTGTGAATTTTTTCATTAAATCTTATTCTGTAACATGTGCACACTTTCAATGAATATGTGACCATAAAATTGGTAGCTGTAGTCAATTGCAATTTCAAAATGTGCAGGTTTTCATATCCACCACAAAGGGAGCAACGGTTCCTTCTAACCTTGCACATACATGTACATGCAGGAGCGGATCCAGGATTATTTGAAGGGGGGGTCCGCGGATGCGAAGCTGATAAGATGCGGACTGATTCGACTTTAAAAATTGATTATATATCGACACCGATCTGCCTTTAGGGGTTGGGGGTGGGTCGCTCACATAGTCACTAAGAGGTCATACCGTGACTAGAAACTAACTACTATTATCTAACTTCACAGTAAGTTTCCAGTAAAGGCATTAAAAACAGTTGAGCATACTGACAATAAAAGAGAGTTTTCAATAACATCATGAATCTCAGAATGCCCCCACAGTAGAGTGCTAAGAAGTGGGTCCAGATTGACCTGTGCTTTAAATCTATGGCATTCTCTTTTTGGTTTGTCAGAGATGATATTTGAAACCTGTTACATAAAATATGCCTGTGATTGGTTTGTAAACGCGTGCCATTAATCACGATGGGTAATACTGCACGTCGACAGGGCAGTAAAGAAACGTGCAGGTAAATGAAGAATCGACAAGAGCACACACATCTTGTTATCATATCAATTAGGATAGGCTCGAGTGTGGAGCAGATAGGCCGGTCAGTTTTGTTATGTGGGGTAATAGGGAAACAACTGTTTTTAGGCTGCAGTTTGTTTCAGTGCTTTATTGTATGGTTGGATTGCGTTATATTATATTATATTATATTATATTATATTATATTATATTATATTATATTATATTAAGTCAGCATCATTGCCTTTTGGAGAAAATATTCCTGTTGGGCTTTATTTACCAGTAGTCAAGGGTGTTCACTCATTAATTCACCTTTATTTTGCAAGACTTAAAAACTGACATAATATTGGCATATTTGGATATATTATATGTATGGCCTTTTTTTACAGACACCACTGAAATTCGACCCAAACTTTAAAAACCCTTGTTGGTACGAACAGATCCCCGCTAAACTGGACTCCATGTATGCTAACAACCACTGGGCGGACGGGAAAACATTCACCCAAAAATTTAACATTTTGAAAAACTTCCTTGCTTTCCTGAGAGGGCGCCATTTTTCTCAACATTTACGGTGTCTTCCATATTTTTACCTGGTGGGCGTGGCGAAGGCCGGAACGACCGATCTGTATGACCGGATTTCTCAGCATCCGGATATGGCCCAAGGCATGTTGAAGGAGCCGCAGTGGTGGGGACGACGAAACTTTGGTGAGAAAAAAATTGATAAAAATTATCCTCAGTCAATTACAAGTTATCGAAACAATAAGTGGTTATTTTTATTTATACATTATTCAAAGCAACTACATGTATATGTACTGGATATGGCAGTGTAATACCTGTAAAAACAGATATAGTTTTTTGTAGCTTATAGGACCAATGTTGACTTGGTAGAATACAGTGTTTAGGGGGACATGAACATGTAGCATGATAAACTAGTATTATTTGTGGAATTGTGTTACGTGCGAATACATATTATTTGACTCGCGATTGAAAGACACTGTGCATGCTAAATGTTCATTAACATTACAAAACGTATTGATATTTTTTTAAAAAGACAGGATTGAGTTAACAGCTTATCTATAATCAATATATTTGTAAGTGTAGTAAGTTATAGTATTGGGTGGATGAAGTCCCCTTTAAAAGAAAGTGATGAGTTTGGAGCTTCAAGCAGGCCCCTGTTTCAATAAAAAAAAAAAAAAAAAACTTAACTCTGGTTCCCTGGCTAAGAACTTAATTACCAAGGCTACATGGTCACATGGACATATTTTACCCTATAAGGAGCAGTGTAACAGCACTCTCATGGAAATCCTAGTCAACTAAGCCAGGGAGCTGAAGTATTTTGTGAAACCGGGGCCAGGTGAACTAAGACTAAAAACTTTCCTTATTTTTAGGAAGCAAGAGCATGTCCGTGCCCTTCTCGCAGTACGTAGAACTGTTCGACATGGCTGCCAAAGCAATAGCAGAACAAACGTGCATGAAATGCAACCCCAAAGACGGTCCTATACATACTAGACTTACAGGTAAAGTGCAGACAGCATGGACAAAGTCATTCCACTACATGTATATATGTATTACCAAGATATTAGATATCTAATTTCCTGGTATTGCATATTCGTGGTCAAAAAGGAGAATTGGTGTGGTACAATGGGCAAGTGCTCTTTCTAAGGTTTGGATGTTTCTCCCCCCTCACCCCAAAGAACAAAAGGCACAGCGTGCAAAGCGAGGAAAACCAAGGAATTTTTAATCCGTTGGGACTGTATGTATGGAGCCATTAGCTAAAGAAAAGAAAACGAAAGTTTGTCAAGATTGATGCCTTTCCCTATAGTTTCCCTTATATTGGACGAATTCAAAAGAAAAATGTCTGTCCATCCAGCGCAGTATATTTTGTTTAACACAGGTATACTTCTGAATGGAAAACTGTGGGGGTTTCATTTATGGCAATGCAGAAAACGGCTGGAAATATGCTGAAATTAATGTGCTTTAGGGAATGGTGGTGTTAAATGAAATCACATCAACCCTATTCTTAAATACCATGAATATATTAAGTTCTGGTAAGGAACAGTGTTGCCGTAATATCAATATATTATCCAGATATATTATAAAGTTGATATTTCAAAGAAATCCATATTTCATTTATTTCCTATCTATTTCCACAGGAGAGGCTAGTCCTACGACGTTTTGGTTTAACGACTTTTGGGACGAAAGACTCGGGAATAACGTCACTTCCGGTGAACCAACATACGTAGTTGCTGACTATATGAAGCAGTTACAACCAAATGCTAAAATTATCATTATTTTAAGAAATCCCGTTGAAAGGTACGGGTCAAATTCGACACCACACTCTTTTTAATACCTCACCACTGTTTCTTAGTATCATGTACTAACAAACTATCATTGTGCTTTAATTAAGTTTTATTAAAGGCATACAAAACACGTTAGACGTATTATAGCAAAATATTTTCTGGAAAAGTCTGCAATTTCCTCTTTAATCATATGGGTGGCACTACATAAAATCTTTGAGAAAATGACGATCTGTAAACCCACTTTAGAGTTCTAAATTTCTCATTTTTACCGTTACGAGAAAAGTTTACCAATTCTCATCTCCATAAAATAAACTATATCTATTGAAATCTATTACTATTACTGATGATTAATTGGTCTAGGTAATGACATCGCGTCTCCCTCTCGGAGACTACGGCCGGTCTATTACGTACGAAAAAAAAAACGAAAAACTTAAAAAATCAAACTCGGCTCGGATTTAAAGTTCGTAATTTTGCCAAGTGATTTGGATAAGGTGTACTCTAGCCATGACGTGATTGAGGGGGAAGTTTTGAGTTTTTCAGCAAAATTGATTAAGCATGCACTTATTGTGTAACTTTGAGTATTCTTTTTATCTTAAAATGCGACATTGAATAAAAAAAAACGATTTGGTCTTTTTAGGGTTTATTCGGACTTTTTATACCTGGCCAAACGGGTTGGCAAAAGGCCGGAAGTCTTCCACAGGGCAGTAGTAGAAGGGGTAAAAATATTCAACGACTGCCGCATGAGGCACTCTGTCCGCAGTTGTGTACACAATAGGACAGTGCGGCTCTACCGTCCCTGGAGTGAAGAGTGCTTCTGTGAGGTAGGTTTTAGAATAATATAGTACGTAATTGATTGAGTAGTTTATTTGATATTATCTTGTTTGGGAAATGTTTCTTCCAGTGTCTCTTATCTCTTTTATCTGCCTTCATTTGATTAAAAAAAAAACGGTGTCAGCAACCCCGTCAAGCTCCCGTTTTGGATACTTGATGGTAAAGCAGAATATCTACTTTGGATTGGAGTCTGAGATCAAATGGCTTTCATCTGTGAGCATTCTCTATATAACGAGTCCGTTTGTCTCTTATTTCTTGTACATTTCAGATCGCACGACTAAGCATTGGAATGTACAGCGTGCACGTGACTGACTGGATCCGGGCTTTCTCTCCCCGACAGGTGCTCATTTTGCGTTTCGAAGATTACGTGAAAAATCAGCTCGACACATTACGAAAAGTTTTTGAATTTTTAGATTTGCGTGAGTATATAATTAGTTTTCTCCACCTATGACTTAGATTTTTTTTGTGTTTAGATGGACAATAATGTCTATAACATGGAACTAAAGACTTAGAACTACTTGCAGCAAGACACTTTTTGTTCATTGGATATTTTTTTAATATCCATCCAATTATGAAACATATTTGTTTAAAAAGGATGGTTTTATTGGCTTATTCATATAATTTTTGCGTGAGGGGAAATATCCTTATCTTAGGGCACTTCAGATAATTGTCAACGTCATTGCTTGCCACAAAATTATTCATAGGCATCATTTAACTATTAAATAAGCTGACTAGGATTTGATAAATAATTTCAGGCCCTTTGACAAAGAGAGAAGAAAGAAGAATAACACTGAAAGTTCCTTCAAACCGGACGCCAAATAAAATCCCAATGTTAAAGGAAACCAGAAAAATTCTGACCGAATTCTACGAACCCTTTAATAAAGAACTTGCATCGATTTTGAAAGATGAAAAATATAGTTGGAAGGGAGGATAAAATCTTTTAACTTTAAAATGTTTTGTTCTGAGAATAAGACGGGTCCTATCTTGATCGCTATGCGATCTACATTATAGTCATTGTTGTTGGCGACCTTTATTGTCGTTTTTGTTATTGGTGAAACATCCAAGTGTTACTTTAAAAAATAAAGCCACATTTTTTAACATTGTTGTTCCCTGTGACACAAGTTTACACAAATATATGATCCCTTTCTTTGATTTACCGGCATAAATGAAGTGACTCTTGCAATGCAATACTAATTTCAATTTGATATTTTATTAAAATACAAAGAATTATTTTCTTACATTGGCACTCAGCGAGTGCGATTTAGTGTTAAACATATTTGAAATTCATCTATCCAAAGTCTCTAACAACGTTGCCTCAGTTCATCCATTTGCCAAAACATTTTTGATCCTCAAAACGCTGCTTCTTTTCTCTTACATTTTCAAACTTTAATCAATCTCGAGTTTAAAAGTCTACGAATGGGGGCAACACTGTGGTACTTCAGTGTTTTTCCCACTTACGCAAAAGTCTTTTCCCGCCTTTTCATCTCTATCGGGGATGTGCTACAGGCCTGCTCATTCCTAACTGGCGCCAATCGCGCAAAGTGCCAGGGCGTACAGGAGCACTGAGCGAGGTTGCGGGTCCAGGTGCACGAGCAGTAACGGATGTTACGTCATGTCGTAAAACTCACTCGACGGCAGGAGAGAGAGGGGCTCATCTCCGTTTTTTATTTCCATTTATAATCTATTCAGCTTTAAGTCAATAATTTTGTTCGACAAGTTTTGACGCAAACCTTGTCAACCACTTTCGGGCGTCATCTTTTTTGCTGCGAGAGGCGCAGTGCGCCACGAGGTACAGCTGCTTTGAGCGACAGACGATCAGGTATTTCCCGCCATTCCAGGCAAGCAAAGTATTAGGGGTGGTGACCTTGACACAATACGTGACGCCCTGGATGTGGATCGTTTCCCTGTGGTTGCTGCTGTCCATGGCTTCTTTTATTGCCTACAAGCACAACAACAACGGAAAATTTAGAATTTTCTACCAAAGGAAATGCTATATATTGGCAGAAACTAGTTATTCGATTTAGTACATGCAGAACTGCCCCGGCAAATGGATGATGCCATGTGCTATATTTAGAACTGATGTTTTACAATAAGGCGTTTGAGTTCGAGTTGATAACCATATTTTTAAAATGTGCGTTATGATACGCAGTGGCCTTTGTGACAGGACTAGTAATTAGCCTTGGTTGAGATCATTCTTTTCAGTTGTCTCTTCCCTTTCAAAAAATCTCTCACAATCTAAGTTGTACAAAAGGCCTGGCCAACAATAACTAGTATAAAGGAAAGGTTAACCCCAAGACGCACAAAATGACAGATTTCTTTACCTTCAGTTCCTGCGAGGTAATACCAAATCCATACGAAGCAGCTGCAACTTCACCGGAACTGAACAACATCGCCCCCTTGCGGAGAACGAGCTCCGGTTTGTCGTGGAGAATGTGCCAGAGAAGCTGTCCCCAGGAGCTCCCGTTCTTGGACACATTGCTATTCAGTGCTATTCCTTCCATTGGTCCCAACATTTTGGCTTTTATTACTGAAAAGAAAGCATGATTTCATAAGTATATGGAAATACACCTCGAGCCTACATTACATTTTTAAAAAACCGGTTACAACCTTCGAGGTAACATGACAGAACTTAAAATTCTTCTGAAAACGACCCTGATTGGAGCACTGACGGCATCAATTTGTTATTTTGATTGGCATTAAGACGTCAATTTTCAATGTTGAAAAGATGATAAGATTTGGTAAAAGAGGTGTGCTGATGCAATCTACCAACTTTTCCTGTCGCAACAGGTTTGAAACAGTCTTCATATCATCTTTTCCGTCGAACGTTTAGGAGTCACCCGAACAATAATATTTACTTAATCTCTTGGGTCCTAAAGTGCATGACCAATGGGGGCGTATAAATTTAGGGTTATCTTGATTTCAGGTCCATTAATCCCTTACCTGACTGGCGTAGTGTATGTAGTGACAGATTAAAGTGGATAAAGCTAGTTACATTTAACATCTACATTTAGGGTGCGTTTGAATCATAATATTTGGCAATAGATACTGTTGAGTACCTTCCTGTTTTTGAATACCTAATTTATGGACAATAATATTTACTTAGGATGAATGATCCCCCTTATCTTTGATACCTGTGACCGTAAAAATTTTACTGCGTCATTTATTTTGTACTGTTTATTGTAGGTAGACATGCAGATGGACCTTTTTCATAAAATAATAAAATTGAACCGTCCTCCAACTCTTATCTGTTTTATTCCGAATATTTTTAGAGTCAAGTTTAAAAGCAAGTGATAAATGATACTTATTTTAAATTTAATTTTATTTATTAAAGCAACTTGTTCTCTGTCATAATCACTTGAAGACAATTACTTTGTAAATTAAGTAATGAAAAAATCATAAATAAAGAAATAGTGCCATTGTAGTTGAAAGAGTTGATATGGGCGATATTCTTTATAAGGAGAACATTTTAATTAAATTTCCATATGTACAGGCATAGGTCTAATTTGTATCCATTGATATATTGAAAGCAATGGTTTAAGTAAGGGGGTTAGTGTCGCGTACTGTCACATACAGACACTATCTTTTGGAATGCAGGTAAACGATATTTATCTATTGTAAGTCAGTTAAGTGCAGTTCCTAGTTAATGTTTAACAATATCCACAACAATAGCGGGTTCTTGTATTTTTTACAAGAGTTGAATTGAAAAGTTTGCAAATGAGAAGTATAAAGTTAAGATGATGATTGAGCGCCTTTAAAAAGAAATTCATAATACAACAGATGTTTCAGTTATGGTGTTTGCAGAAAAACGTGCTACTGAAACGCCAGTAGTAAGTGAACTGCGTTCCATAGTTAATATTTAACTGGATTGTTTACAATAACACAGGGGAAGCATTCATAAAAGTTAATCGTGTTCTATAACGGACTTGTTGACAACAACAACAACAGTGCACTGAACAGGTACCGTCTGTATTCTTCAGTAAGTAATTGACCGACATATTTAGTAGATATCTCACAAATGTATCCTGAACTGATAACTGGAGAATGTGTTATACCAAATGTCAACCTAACACTACACTTACACTACGAGTTTAATATGCCATGTAATCAGTTCTACCCATTTACGATCAAAGATGTTTTAAAAAAATGTAAATTTCAAAACCAGAACTAAAAAATAGCATAATAAGAACAGTGAAATTGACAATAAAGGTTACAATATATAAATAACAACAACAAAAACAAACCTAATCATACGTCAAAATTATAAAAATTATGGGAACTAAACCAAAATATTTTATTCAAAACGTTATATTCGACCTTGCATGAGATGTTATAAACCTTTATATCTGGTCATGAAAGTTAATTGCAAAATAAAATAATTAAATAACAGTGAAATAAAAATATAGCTGAATAGATGAATAAATTGACAAATAAAATACAAATAAAACAATGACGATAAACTTACTCTTTTGAGGTGAAGATGAATTGAGTTTATTCAGGTAAGCGGTGGATAAAGTGCGTCTCACTCAAGTACTAGCGCGTCTTTTTTCCGAGACTGTACCACGTCTTCTCGTCCTTACAACGTTGAAATGGGGGTATTACACAGCCTGAACGCATGTTTATATATAGTAAATGTTATCAACCACGTGACTAAGCATAGGAAATATCCATGACGTCACTGATAGTAGGGATCTAGTGAATGGTCTAGAAGGCACAGTGCACGTTGCTTACAAAATATTGATTAGGTATTAGATGACAACGCGAAATTTGATGATTAAGACAGAGTTAAGAGATATGGAAATTGATCAAAACAAATAGGTAGTATGTTTGGTTAAGGACGTGGAGGGTCAAGTCACAGGGTCACAAGATATTCCCAGAGAGCTTTCACCATTTTTAGCGATTGCCCAAAATCGTTAACGAATTTGAGTTCGTGAGCATATTTAGTTTTGACGTTTTGAAATGAATAAAACTAGGAGCAGAATGTTCTATTGTATGAATGCATATGGAAAATGATAGATATTGGGAATTTCCCCAATGCCAGATCAAGGATAGGGGCCTATACAGAAGGAGAGGTAACCTCCCCTCCGCTCACCCCCTCCCCTCCCCCTTGCTCTCTGGACTGGTTTTTAAGATCCGTGGTGTAATTAGGGTCATTTGTAGTAGTGTCTCATCAAACCAATGGTTTTCTTTTTCTTTCTGGTGAGAGCGCAGGATGTGCTAGCCCCTATTGATATCCGTCAATTCTATACCTTGTAGCTGTTTTAGCAGATTTAAATGGGGCTGAGGGCCGAATTTGTAAATGCCAGAACAGCTAGAAGTAGGAGGGTAGTATTCGCCCTTCCATCCTCTTTATATTTACTCTCTTCATAAAATGAAAATTAATAATTGATATTTGTTTCTGTGATATCCCAATATTTAAATACTTTTTCAGTTCAGTGAAACTGAGTGGATATTATTCGGTTTTAGATTTGTCGCCGACTAATCTTTATGTTCTTTATCTAATCGACGACAGGGCAACGGGGTTACTTTTTAGTGGCTTAAAATAGTCCATAGGGATCAATCACCGAACACATGTTCTTAAATTAGAACACAAGCAAGATACCACATCTTATTTTTCGCGATACGATAGGATGTTTATCCCATCGGCTGCAGCAGTTAAACTGATACATACTCTGCAACAGAACAGAATTCTTTGATTCCCATCTTTCAGCGACCTTGACAATGTCTTCAAAGTCATGAAGGTCGACGTACAAGGCACTCACATATAGGAGCACATTGTAGTAACGTCAGTTTTGAAAAACACCAACCCTTTTTTTTACCAAGCTCAAGAAGGTTATCACAGAAAGTTGTTTGGAAGGCTTAGAGGCTATCAAAGCAGGGGCAGAAGTATCTTTCCAGCAGCACACAAGCGCGTGACAGAGAAGAGGGGTACATTTTTTAGACTCGAAGGGGAAATGTCGAAGAGGAAACCATGTATTTTGATGTTTTCGAAGTTATAACTTATTAGTGGTGTCATCCCAGTCCTTTACTACTTCTTTTCAGAAACACCTCGTTCTGTCACTAATCTAAGCATTGAAATCGCAATTAGCTTATTTACCAGTAAAGGTACCAATGATATATTTGTGTGGCGTATCTTAGCACCAATTTACCTAAAATACGATCTTTCACGTGAATGGACTCTTATCGTTATCCGCACACTGTCACCACAAGACCCGCACATTGCATCATTCCTATCCCCTACACGTGAGACACGCTGTGTACACAGAACCGTTGATAACACATTAAATCAAGTTTTTTTAAATCTGTTTCTGGACAATTTATTCTAGTTGGCGACATTGCGTCTCCCTTTCGGATATTTCAACCTTTCTACTGTCACTTTCTTCTTTATTTCTGAAAGCTGACATGAATTCAATTTTTAAAATCTTCAGTATCTACATGTACGCCTCATCAAAATACAATAAAATAGAGTGGACAAAACAGATCGTTACTTTTTTACATATTTAATAGTTCACGAAAAATATACAATAATATACAAATATAAAGATGGCAAATCGCTACTCGTTACTTAATATAAATTGCAGAATTTGAAGAACCACGAAGTGCGCTTGTTCTTGCCTCTGTTTTATTACGGAATCGGCCCGTATAATGTCAGTTCTCCCTGACCGTGGCCGACATTTATTATGTTAAATACGACATGTTGCCTAATATACACAGCATTGTTACATACTGTGTAATGTACATCACTAGCGGTGGCTGGGAAAGGGACACAGGTCCGTAGCCAGCAAATTCGAAGGGGGAGGGGCTTTTTTTCTATAAAACCTTGGTGTATCTAAGTCAAATTTTTACCCAAAGTGGACCTTTTACCGGCAAAAGGGCGGTTCGTTCGAACCTCCGAAACCCCTGGAGGGCTTGTCGGATGTTTATCTCTACCCCGTGCCACCAATCCCCCCCTCTTTGGTTATTTTTTCTGGTGCATTAAAAGCGATTCTGATAACCACTTTTCTCTCATCATAAGGCGAGGGACTGAGGTGATGCCGCCATGTTGTTTTGGAAAATGGATGACGGGCAATTTTGGTGATTGAGCAATGATAAGTGTGTCACCCTGTGTCTTGTTATTATATTTCCTCCATAAGCATTTCCAAGTTTACAATAGCACGAATTAATTTAAGAAAATCTGTTCCGTACAATTAGATTGTTTAATTTCCAGAAGAATTGGAATCAAAATATTTAAGACCAAAATTTAACAAATTAAAGGAATGAATAAATGCCCATTTGTTTGACAAATAACGAAAAATATCTATGGTGAACTTATGAGGGGGCATATAAGAAGATGCAGTACAAAGTTCTAATTTACACATCGTTACTACCAGATATAATGGTTGTAGAATGAGCACATGGAGGCCTACAACTTCAATGAAATCATATACATGAATGTCAAGATTGCCAATGTTTTACTGGGCTCCTGTATAATATTATACAGTATGTCAATCTTCACATTTTCAGTATTGCTCGTCCCTTGATTTGTCCGTCTTTAAGGCGATTGAGGACGTCTGTGATTTGTTCCAATGAATAGAACTCTGTCGGTGGAGGTTTTAACTGAAAAGAATTGTGAGACATGTTTTTAATAAAGAAATAAATACATTAACCGTAAAAACTACAGGCGTGGTTGTTTCAGTTATAAATATGTCCCCACTGAGTGTGCTGTACGTAAAACATTCAATCTTATAAGAAAAAAAATTGCTACTGGCTCCATAAGTTGGAGGTAATTTGATATTTTCCCATATATATATATATATATAATCGCTACTTCTGTTCTGCATACTACTGTTCTGCACACATCGGTGCCATCACATTGGCTGTTGAACTGCATTGTGTTCAGCGTCACAACTATCACAATTACCTTTTTCTCTGCCACCAGCTTCAAGACTTCCTCCAAATGATGCGGTGTCCCAACTAGTACACCCTTTACACATTTGCTGCTAAAAGTGTGAGATGGAAGGTCCAGGGTCAATTTCCCGCCAAACAGCCCGACTGTCACTTGGATACCTCCCTGCGGGGAAAAAATAAGACTTTTGGGCTTATCACTAAAGCAGAGACGAAACTCTCAATACAAAGTTCTGTGTTCCTCTTCACCAGTTAAGTGGTGACGCCTATTGTATGCAAGAGTTCTAGTCAGACAACGGACAGATAAAAAAAAGATTAGCCAGAGAAACATGTGATCTGTGAATATCTAATGAAAAATCAGTCAGTGGTAGAGGGTGCTGTAGGCCTGTACTTACTGCAGCCTGTAGCTCGTATGCCCTCCTAGAAGTATCTTCTGAACCAACGAGATCTATAACAGCGTCGAAACCGATCTTCCCAACGCCGCTGATCTCTCTTGTATGTGCAAGAAGCGCCTCCTCATTGGCTAAATGTAGCAGATAAACACAGTTGATGAACCATTTACATTTAGCAAAATAAAAAAAGTATTGAAACGTTGATCAGTGATCAATGAAAGTAATTGAGGCTGTTTATCGTCCAGGACCCAGCAGTTTCATTGACACTGGTTAGCACTTTCCTGTGACACTATCCATTGGATAACATTGTTTCCCTCTGGACAGATATCTTGTGGGTAAAGTAATGTTTTTCAAACAATAGATATTAATTTTGTGTCTGACATTGCTATGCAGTGATAAAAATGGCTGCTATCCTCAGGAAAATGATCCAGAGGATAGCAAATTTGTACATTGTACCCAGACTAATCACAGATGCATTATGGAACTCATCTTACCGCCTTTCGTCCATAAGATCGTACCGTCAGCATTGGCATCCTGAGCCAACTTCAGTTTCTCTTCCTATCAATAAGTGAAAGGGATGTCTTTTATAGTATTATTACATGGTGCGTACTTGTTTTGTATATCAAAAAGACTAGCTAAATGCCAAATATATTTTCATGTTTTGTATTCATGACCATAAAATAAATGGGATGCATCCACTGGAGGTTGCAATAAATAAATCCCAATTGTAATGTTGAAATCAAATCATTGAAAGGCATCGAAAATCACTCATCCTTACCGTGATATCGGCCGAGAACACACTGACCTCTGGCGGCAGAATGTGTTTGGCAAATTGTATGCACCATAATCCCAAACCACCTGCTCCGATTACCAGCAGATTTGCCTTGCCTATAAAAAGATATGGAAATATGCTCATCAAATCTTCAATCAATGCCAATTATCTGTGACATCTTCACAGTACACTAATAATTATATATTGATTACACATGTATTGCTATATACATGTACATGTACATATGCAACTCGACAACAGTATACATGTATGATTGCATGGAACAGCACGAGACCACATTGGTAATAAATCCAAGACGGATGATATAAGGAAGGCTGGGGTGGGGGGCGGGAGAAAGATAGCCTTACCTCTCAATCCAACCATATCGAGCAGAGTATCCCGTGTGTTCAACACAGCGTTGTACGTAGTAATTCCACTACAGGGGAGCATACAGGCGACCTCAGGGGTCAGACCCCGGGGAATTCTCAGCACCGTCCTCTCTACGATAGGAACCACCACGTGGGTAGCAAATCTGGAAGAGATGGACAACAAGTGGACAGATAAATGAGCGGATAAATGATTGAGGTAGATAGACAGAAAGAGAGGAGAATGCTTTTGTGGTTTGAAAACTTTGTGAAAACTACTTAGTATATAGTAATAATAATAACCTTTACTATTGCAAAACAAAACAAAAAAATACAAGAAGTGCCATCATTCGTGATTTGAAATTGTGAGTAACTCGTTTTAAACTACAATTATCTTACCCTCCGTGCTGACTACATCCAAGCATATATCTAATGTCGTTACAGAGGTTGGGACGCCAGCCGACGCACAGGGCGCATTCCAAGCATTTCAGCCAGGGATAAACCACTACATTGTCTCCGACATTCAACTCTGTCCCTGAAATAGAGACACTACTGTTCTAAATAGGTGTATGCATTATCCATTGATTTCCATTCACTACCATTTTTAGATAGCTTCACTGTAAGCTTCCAAAATCTGCCCGATTCCAATTAAACGTCAGAACAAAACAATATGAAAATACATGACGTCCCATATATTTATATATATTTTTTTTTCAGATCAATCTTTTTTTTTACCAAATAAAAATTTTTAACACATGATGCATTCTACATGTAGTAACACCTGCATCGTAAGCTGAAATCCATGTTGGCTTCACAAAACATGTCAAAACAGTTTCTTGCAACACACAATAATTATACTATATATAAAAGATATAAATAATATTTTTACGATTGCAAATAATTTGAATTTGACAAAAAAAACCCCAAAAATTTCTAGATTTACCTGCACTGTCACCAAGGGCTTCCACGACTCCAGCAATTTCGTGTCCTATCAAACAGAAGGTTTTACTTCAATAGAAATAATATGTGCATTCTGTTCAATGAGCTAAATATAGGGTGCACTACAAAATGCCATTATATTAGAAGTTAGTGATATACATGGTATAATTATAAAACATAAAAATATATTATAATTATAAATATTATGCAAATGAAAAAAATAAAAAAGACAGAGGTTACATTACTGCTACATACATGTATATATCATTTGTTAACATGCTGTGAACAATTGCAATCTTGCAGACACTGACTGCTCAACGAAATGACATGGAATTTCCTAAAAAGTGTTTTAGAGGTTTTCACATTTTGCCAAATGAATAAATACTTCCTATTATTGTGCCCAGGCAGCAACAAACCAAGGAGATAATCGAGGCTGCCTGGCAGGGAGATCCGGCAGCCCCCTAATAATTTATTTATTTATTTATTTATTTATTTATTTATTTATTTATTCTTTGTGCAAAATTATGTGTTCATTGTGACTTATGCATGTTTGTGAGCTAGTTTGTGATATCAGCAGTACAGTCCACTGCCTTTCTGCTATAACTGTATTCAGTTATTTATATATTTGAACACATTGTAATGCGCGACGAAGTGTGATGTTTTCTGTTAATCCGAACGTGTTGTATTTTGATATGTTTAAACGCTAGTTTGTGATGTCAATGAAAAGAGTCAATTTCTCTCCATATCACCTCCCTGCGCCCTTCCCCTTTTTACAATGTATTCCCTAGATGACTGTATTTCCCTGCAAGTGGTCGCTTTCAAGGTCACCTACCCTGGCCTTTGTCAAAATTTGGATCTTTTCTTCAAAGTGGGCGGTTCTCTAAAACAACCTGTGCGTATTGACTATTCGGTGTGTATTGAGAGAGACAAAGAGACAGAAAAAGAGGGAGGGCAAGTGATCGCGCGACTTTGAGTGAGTCTTTCCTACCTGGTGCTACCTCCTTCAGACCAGGTCCACTATCAAAACCTTCCCAAAAGTTGATGTCTGAGTGACACACGCCAGAGTACGTGATCTGCAAGTCAAATAGTACGACAATAGTGCAGTATGCGCAGTGATTTTTTAAAAATTCTGTCGCCTTCGGATACAAGTGCCCTAACCTACTATGTTTATACTATAGTATACAGGTGCACATGTACAAGGTCACTCACTTACTCACTCACACTCACACACGAGTGCACATGCCAACACATATTATTGCAAATGCAAATGACATAAAGACGCAGTGCACATACACACGTGCGCGCTAACACTGTTAATGTACGACATATGTATAAACTCATTCACTTAAAATGGGTTGCTCCCGGACAGTGAATGAATCTGTAAAGAAGAGATTAAACAGGAAATGAAGACTGGGCCTACAAATGTACAGGCCTATACGCATAGCTTACAGTGTAGTGTTCACGAATATAATTCCCAGACATGTAAATTAATTTGATTAGAGTCGATTGCTTGTGCACTCGACTCGTTTTATGGCCTTACCTGAAGTCATGTAACTTAAGTGGACGTGTGCAATTTGAATAATTAAAATTAGTATGTACCGCCAAATACTGCAGCACAGAATCCACCTAAAGATAAGAAATAGGTATAAAAGACGTATAGAATTAATATCGGGGGGCAGACTGAAGAAGACTCGAAGATGACCGCTCGACGGAGCTATGGGAGACGGCTTAGAAGTTGGAGGCTTCACGTATAGAACATGTAGTTAGAGATCGTCAACCAATAAACCATTAAACTGGTCATTATGTGGACTTGGGTTTTCTTTGCGCGACCT